TTCTAGTTCCATTAAAATCAATGAGAATTAAAAACACTCAGCTTTCACGGGATTGCTCCCAAAGCAGTTTAAGTTTCACCTCACATGTGATTGTGTAAGAAGTGACTATTTCTGGGAACTGTGACGTATGTTTACACTGAAGACCAAACGCTATTCCCAGAATATCTCTTCAGTTTTATTTGCTTGGTTTTTTCTTTTTTTCTTTTTTGAGAAGCAATAACTTTTACAACATCTCAAATTTGTTGAATCCTTCTTGACAACAATGTGGCAGAAGAGTCCACCAACCAGCTCACATCATATAATGGGGTTTTGTGCCCTTTTCTTCAGCTCAGAACTTCTAGAGAGTAAAGTTCTTTCCGGTGTAGCTTCTCTAAGAAATGTACAATGAATAGAACATGGACTGAATTCCTGACACAGCCAGCCCTGTGGCAATTCTGTACCTGTACAAGCAGCAGAATGCGAAGAAAATGTTGGAGAGATTAAGATGGCTCCATTTTGTGGAGTCTGCAGTTTACCTGTTTTGTCCCTGGTTGTCCAACTTGAACTGCTGTAGCCTCAAACTGCTTTTTTGTATATATTTATAACCTTTTCAAAGAGGATAATTCCCCAAGAAGTTGTCAGTACCTCAAAATATTGTTATTTCAATTCCAGCTTTGCAAAATGCTACAGTCACTCTCTTATCTGGCAGTTTCAACATTGCATGACTCATATCCTTACTGCCTGGAATATTAAGAAAAACATATTGAACATTTGCTACATGTGGAAGAACATATTTTTAAAAATGTATTATTATGTTGCCAACCAAATGCTCTGGATGTAAGTTAGGAACCACGTTCACATTGTCCTCCTAGGCTTGACAATTTTAGATGAAAAACTGATTGAATCATAGGTTTAACCCCTACCCCACAACATATTGCCAGCTCTTCAGACGGGGTGACCATTATTTTCCTATATAAGAAAGCTTTTTCTTTTTAATTCCACAATCTTAAATATATATATTATTTACACACACACACACACACACACATTTTGTAGTTTATTAATTCCTACATAGATAATCCATGATGCTGTGACATCTGACATCTTGCAATGAATGAGAGCGTCTCATTCATTTCCATGGAGGCAAGAGACCTGCATGCCCATTCACATGAACACACAGATATTGTACAAGTAGGTAGCCGTGTTGGTCTGCCGTAGTTGAAACAAAATAAAAAAATTCCTTCCAGTAGCACCTTAAAAGGTAAAGGTAAAGGTACCCCTGCCCGTACGGGCCAGTTGTGTCCGACTCTAGGGTTGTGTGCCCATCTCACTTAAGAGGCCGGGGGCCAGCGCTGTCCGAAGACACTTCCAGGTCACGTGGCCAGCGTGACGAAGCTGCTCTGGCGAGCCAGCACCAGCGCAGCACATGGAAACGCCGTTTACCTTCCCGCTAGTAAGCGGTCCCTATTTATCTACTTGCACCCGGGGGTGCTTTCGAACTTAGCACCTTAGAGACCAACTAAGTTTGTTATTGGTATGAGCTTTCGTGTATCTGAAGAAGTGTGCATGCACATGAAAGCTCATACCAATAACAAACTGATTTGCTCTCTAAGGTGCTACTGGAAGGAATTTTTTTATTTTGCTTCGACACAGATATGTGGTTTTCGCTGAAGTGAAGAGGGCAATGTGTTGCATTTGCAGAAGCTTCTGATTCTTTGTGCAGATGAATGACGAAGCACAGGTGCTGTAATTGAGATCTATATTGAAAGGCAACCAAAATATGACCAACCTATAGAAAACTGTTTATGTAGTTACAGCCCAATGTATATTTCCATTCCATAATATTAAATATACACATCACATTTGCTTTTATTTTACCAACTAAGCCCTGCAGGATAAGAATAAAGGCCCATCTAGTCCAGAATTCTCACAGTGGTTAAGCAGATGCCTATAGGAAGCCTTCAAAAAAGACATGAATACAACACCACTCTCCTCACTCGTGTTGCCTGATTTATGCCTAATATTCAGAGGCATATAATCTCTGATACTGAAAGTAGAACCTAACCATCATGGCTAGTAGCCAAAGACAGCCTTATCCTCCATGAATTTATCTAATGGGAATGAATTCTAGAGTTTAATTATGTGCTGTATAAAGAAATGGTATCTTTTTTCCTGTCTTGAATCTTCACTAGATGACCCCCCCTCCCCACAACATGCATAGTGTTAGATATGCCTTATCACATTCCCCCTTACTCACATTTTTTCTAAACTAAAAATCCTGAAATGTTGTAACCTTTCCCTCAATTTTGTTTTCTCTAAATAATGCTGAAATTGTAAAATTTTACCTGCGTAGCCAATCAAACCCTTCCTAAAGTTGGCTTGAGACAGGGGTGGAAAATAGCTGTGTTCTGGAATGATGAAATAGCTAGGTTTAGAAATTTAATGAATGAATTCACCATGCCAGGATACACATTAAGAACTTTAAAAAGAAGGAAATGGGGAAAGGTTCTAAAAACAAAGGGGTGAGTAAAAAATGGCCAGCTGTAAAACTCTTTAAATGAGGTACAAACCTTTGTAGCTCGTAGGATGCTCATTCCACACACAAATTTCACCAAGATTGGGAAAAATATAGTTTGTCACACAGTAGACCCTAACCCAAATAAAGTGAAATGCATTTAAACCCAGTTTAAATCAATAGGGTTTAAGTCACCATAAATCTACCATTAATTTTATGAGAATTTACAATGCACTTTACAGTAGTTGAGTTGGAGCCATTGTAGAATGTACATGAACCAGAACCATTGCTACCAGTTTAAAGTACTGTACTTAGCGAAAACCTTATAATATATAAGCAATTCACACATCTCAGTCAGACCTACGACTTACCAACAGGAGAAAGGAAATTCAGAAACAAAGCAACTTTTAAAATTGTATTTTAATGAAAAAAATACTGTATGAATAGAAATGGAAGTATAACAAAGAATTTTTAGCTGATTCATGAAAACAGAGTTACCAATAGAGGAAGGAAATACTTGATATTAATCTTTTATGCTTAGCTATTTCTCCTAGAAAATTGATACGGATACTATACTACTTTTACACCACAAACCTAAACACATTACCCAAAATGAAATCCCATTACTGAACTTACTTCCAAGTGATGCTTTTTGGATTGGGGCTCCAACTGACAACTATATAATCTTAACCATTCACCACTCTGATATCTTCATGTTATTTTTTATTTCTTGCATTGCAAAAAGATGACACATAATTTTAATATCCTGATCTTAACCGCATATACTTAGAACTAAGGCTCACCAATATTAATGGATCTGATTTAAAAGTATGTTCAGAGTTGCCTGGAATTCAGTAATATTTTTGCCTGACAATGCATAGGGCTGTCATTTACATAGGGCAATGCAAAAGTCTCTTTCTCTCTCTCATACACACAGACACACATTTTAGATTGTACTTTTCTCAAGAGCCCCTTTATCTCCAGTTATGAGATCTGGTTACGCCTTTGCCTCCCTCTGCACCGTGATCCTGATTGAAATGGTGGGATGGGCAGGCGTAGGAGTGCTTTTAAGACGAAAAAAATGAGGAGGAAAGTCAGGACATCCAATCACAGATCTCATCTGAAGTCATGTACTTTGGCTTGAAGATGTATCTATGTGGCAATATAGGCTGATTCCCACAAGGCTTCGTGCCCCCAGTTCTTAGTCAGACTTTGCGATGCACTAAATCAGCTTCGAAAAGTCACCCAAACTGGTTTCTCACACTGTTATCACTCAGACTCAAAATGCTGCAGGCAGCCAAGAAGATGGTGTGTGAAAACCGACCTATGCTGACCTGTATGCGCGCATGGCACCAACATTCAAGTAGCTGGCTCACTGCATGGAACCACACCTGGAAAGTCTGCATAGACAAATCCAAGGTGTCACGCACAGAAAAGGTTATTATTTCCCTGGGGAATGCCCTCCCTTCAGATGTCAAGGAGATAAAGAACCACACAACTTTTAGAAGACATCTAAAGGCAGCCCTAATCGGGAAGTTTTTAATGTTTGATGTTTTACTATGTTTTCATATATGCTGTAAGCCGCCCAGAGTGGCTGGGGAAACCCAGCCAGATGGGCAGGGTATAAATAATAAAATTATTATTATTAATTTGGATTACATAAACATTCTGATTCTGAGCACACTTATATTGAGAAGCAAGTCCTGTCACTGAAAGGACCTCATCTTGGAAGGACTACAAGCTCATTAAGGTAAGATTAAGATCAGTGGGGCTCCCTTTCAAGGAAAACGTTAAGAGTGGTACAGTACTGTACAAGGAAATGTGCACTTTTCCATTTCCTTGCCACATCAAAGCTGTACAAATCACTGTTGCCAATTTGCAGTGCGTTCCTATGCAAGTCTACTGAGAAGAAAGTCCCAATGAACATAATAGGACTTAGTCCCTTTAACTCTGTATAGGATTACAGCAATAGTTATTTAAAGAAAGTGATTGAGGTGCCAGGTTACTAGTTTTTAAAAGTTATTCAGTGTATGATTGCCCTTTGGCACATATTGTCAGATAAACAAGCTAGTTTTTCTCCCATAAGCTGTTTAGGTTCATGAAAGAACAGGTGTGTGCTCCCGTGTTCCCCATATTTAACAGTGTTCCTACTAATATGCCTTAGTATGGTCCACTTCCCAACACAGAGACTATTCAAATCAGTTTCTAGTGTGCTTGTATCTTCCTAAAATTGGAAGAAACATATTCAGACTGATCTATTTGAACATATAATGGGGATAGATAAGCATTCAATTATGTTCCTTGAAATAAAATATCTATTATATAACAAATAAAAATATACATATTAAGCTAGTGGCTGGCAAGCATTAAATCCATTTTAGACATTTGCATGTTCTGCAAGTGAAGTGTTCCAACATATCAGAGGAAACCTTGGAGGGGGAAGGAACACTTGCCTAGCACAGAACAGGAGCCCAGATTTTTTTGGCTCAGACAGGTTCATTCAAAGTTATGATGATCCTTGCCTCTTTTGATACTGTATTCTAAGCTTCTCCAGCTGTTCGACACATTGCGTCTGGGCCAGCTTCAGTGTCCGGTTCTCTTCTGTCAGGTTTGCATACTCCTTAGTTAGCTGAGCAGCATCCATGTTTTCTTTCTCAGCTTGATCTAGCCTAGAGATCAGCTCCCTTCTGGAAAAAGAGAGAGATTTTTAAATGTCCTTTGTGTCCCTTTGGCTTGGATCCTAAGAACTATGAAAAGAAGGAAAACACATTAAAATGCTGTTCTGTCAACTCTTAGCTAGCAAAAGACTTCTGTATCAGGGTGAGTTACAATATAAGAAACAGGAAGAGGAAAAACACTGGCTGTGACATATGAACCCTAAAAAGTGGTTAAATCTAAAATGTAAATATTATATAACTCACAATGAAAGCTTACTCCTCCATGAATAAACTGAATACATGTATATGGGTAATGTTTAGACAAACCTTTGGTTTTGATTTTACAATTAATCATATATTCTCCTCCCAAATAGGAACATAGGAAGCTGATTTAGATGGAACCAAACTATTGACTCATCTAGTTCAATATTGTCTGTGCAGACTGGCAACAATTCTCCAAGATTTCAGACAAAATATCAAAAGAAGAGTGATCCAGCAACCGTAGCGGGAAGGGATATGACAAGCTAGCCTGATACCCAAGGCCATCAGATACGTGGGCCAAAACCACCCACAGAACATTATATTGTCTTTAGAGTCAATGTGTTAGATGGCAATTTTTAGATCCAAATAATCTTGACTAGATGGTATTGGTGACATGCCAAGACTCCATACTCAAAACAGGTAAGGACAAACTCCATGAATGATACACATCCCCGACCTCTCCAGGTCACAGGACATGAATCTATGATTGCTTTTCCCTTGCCTATGGATGCCTCTGTGAATTTAACCTTTAAACTTACAATGTAGACAGACAATGCAGAAAAAGAAGTAACACACTTGGGAGAAATACAAGAAATCTCTCTCTCTCTCTCTCTCTCTGAATGATATCCTGTGTTAGTCATATTCAGAGAAGACCCATTTAAATAAACTAGTTTACTCTCAGCATAACTTAGTTAGATGTCACTCATTTAATTTTTACTAGCCTCTTTGATTAACGCAGAAATTCTTCATGCAGATGTTACCTTTCTGAGTATATGACAGTTATTTAGAAAAGAAAACACACACTTACTTTCTTTCTTCAAGCAGTGCAATTTCCTTTTTGACTTCATAGTATTCTTCTGCTATTTGGCAGTGCTGTTTGAACACCTGCATAGATTCCTTTGAGTCATGGCAAGGAGGCAGAGGCTTCATAAACATAAAGGGGGAAATAGTTTAAGGTTTTTAGCATTCAGATGAATAATCAGAAATGAAATTTAAACTGAGATGTTATTTTAATATAATCATTTGTGTTCTTATAATGAGTGGAGCATTGTCTCATGAAAGCATTAGCTTAAGAAAGAAGACACCCTCCGCATCTGTTATAAGAATAGTAGTACTGTATTAATTTGCAAATGGTATTAAGGATCTAATTGATTCTATGGAACATTCACGTTATACATATTTATGAATAAGACCTTTGGCTTTATAATAATTATTTAATTAAATAATGCAACAAAGTCACATAAGCTAAATTGCAGAACACAGAAGGCAATGTAAGAATGACCACTTATTCCTAAAGATATAAAATCCAAACCTGGGCCCTGAGCTAATACCTCTGACAACTAGAGCCCTGGTGGTTTTGCTATGACCTTACATAGCCCATGACTTACAACACAGATAATATCACAATCCAATTCATGTACAGCCTTGCATTTTGTTAATCATATCAAATGTAAAGCATTTTACACAAGGACATAGGAAGAGCCTGTTGGATCAGACCAATGGCCCATCCAGTCCAGCATCCTGTTCTCACAGTGGCCAGTCAGATGCCTGTGGGAAACCAGCAAGCAGGATTCAAGCACAAGAACACTCTTGCCTTCCTGTGGTTTCCAGCAACTGGTATTCACAATTTACATTTACATTCTACAGAGTAACCATACCTGTTTCTCCAGTGGTAACTATGTTCAAGGTATTTTTATAGAGTGACATAATGTGCAAATACAGGCTGTGGACCCAAGCAGCTTACTGTCTAAATTTTTTACAAGGGGAAACAGAGGGATAGGAGGGGTACGGGTAACAAAATGTAGGAATTAGACAGCTGAGTCACATATAAAGTTTTGGTTTCAAGCTGGGGGCAGGGACAAGACACTAATTCAAAGCCTTCACAGGGTCATATATGACATTCACAGCAATAGACATGGTTAGACGTCATCAAAGGTGACCACTGAGCATTCTGGCTAGGGCTCATAGGAGTTGGAATCCAGCAGCATTTGAAGGGCACCACGTTGCCTGTCTCACAAAAGCTGAGAGAGGTGGAATCACATAAAGTTGTGGGAGAAGACTCAAAGGTCTAAGGAGCAGAAGAAGCCGGTTCATTTAAGAGGAAAGGAAACTAGGGAGCAGAAGCTGGAGAGGACAAGGACAGGGGTATAATGAGATGTACAAATCTATTGCTGGATTACCAGATATGAATATCAAATAGGAAGACAAAGTTTAAGCAAAGAGATAGGATAGAGCAAGGCCATGAAGACTTTTAATGCTAGATTTAACAGTATGGAAAAGATTCTGCCCAGGACACTACTTGAGAACACTATTACAGACGCACAATTACAGCATCTCAGGGTCAAGGCAACTCAGTCTAACAGATGCAGATGATGGACAAGTGAGGAAAGACTGAAATTCTGATGTAGTACTCCAGGGAGCAATAACTGGGATGGGGAGTGGGAAAGATGAGAACTTCCTACCACTTGGGTTGGGCATTGCACTCATAACTAATGATGCAACAAATAGTTTAATATTCATGCTCTTCAATACTACAGAACCCCAGTGATGGCTCAGGAAGAGGGCAGAAGAGATGTTCTCCTGGTGGCACAGAACTTGTCAGGACAGGAGTGAATATGGTGGCTGAGGTAAGGTCAAGCGAGTTCTGGGTTGCTGGGAGGAGCTCCCCAGGTTGCCAGAACTGCCCTGATTTTGCTACAGCCTTGCCCCACCCAATCTCTGTCCCTATGAGGACAGCAAGACACCAACAGCTGCTGAGGAACTGTTTATGTATCACAATTCATGGTTCAGGGAGCACATCCTCTAGCTCAGGGGTCAGCAACATTTTTCAGCTGTGGGCCGGTCCATCGTCCCTCAGACCATGTGGTGGGCCAGACCATACTTTGGGGGGGGGGGAGGAATTAATTCCTATGCCCCACAAATAAGCCAGAGATGCATTTTAAATAAAAGGACACATTCTACTCATGTAAAAACAACAGGCAGGCCCCACAAATAACCCAGAGATGCATTTTAAATAAAAGGACACATTCTACTCATGTAAAAACATGCTGATTCCTGAGAAGGCAATTGGGCCACACCCGGCCCACGGGCCTTAGGTTGCCTACCCCACTCTAGCTTTTGACGAGGTATGCTTTTATGTTCCCATTATTTTTCATTTTCACTGCATCAATGTAGGCTGAGGCACAATGGAAAATGAACTACGTGATGCACCCACCACTTCCTCAGTTCACTTCATACGTCTCTCAGTTATTGCCCGTTGAAACTCAGACCACAAGAAGGGGGTTAAGCTAGAAGGTAGCATACTTACTGCTAATCTTCTGGAAATTTCCAGACAGGAGTTCCACACATTCTTCCCTTAAGGAGACATCACCCCTCCCTCCCCAAAATGTGTCCTATGCATGTCAACACTGTCTAAGGAGGGTTCATTGATTTATTTATAAAATACTTTGCAGTGATTCCGTGGGCGGGGTGGGGGGGGTGGCTTTGTAGGTTTGGCAACAGTTCCTAAAGATCAGCATCTGGCCAAAGGAGAGCTTTTATTCTACTACTGATCTTCTCCTGCAATGTAAAGATGCAGGCAAGAGTTTGTAGTGTTGTGTTCTTTACATCACAAAAAGGCGATTATATACCCCTGAAACTAATCTTAGTTTTTATATTGGGGGGGGGGGGAAACCTGTGGCCTTCAGGTACTGTTGGACTACAACTCCTATTGGTTATGCTGGTTGAGGTTGATGGAAGTTAGAAGCTCAACTATATCTGGAGGACCACAAGTACCTCAGATCATCCTTTTTGGAGGTTAAGACCTTCAATAATACGTTATTGTCCTGCACATGGCTAGACCTACAGCAAGTTCCACTGTCTAGAGTGGGATTTATTCCCAAGTATACATACAATTGCAGCCTAAGGCTGGAACCCTATCCTCCCTTATCTGAGAGTAACCCCCCACTGAACTCCATGAGACATTGTAAGTCTAGTAAATAAAAATATTCTGATATTATCTAGATCATCATTCAGTAGTTATTCTGGAGACATCTTTCTGTGCCTTTGAATGAGCAGCACCTTAATTCAGACAAAAATCAGTGGCCACAATTTGTCTGTTACCGTGGACTGTGTGTAACACACTTTGAAAAGGGTAAGTAAACTTCTCACTATACAGCAACAAGCTGCTTAAGTAGAAAAAGAAAATACTTAGTTCATTCATCTTGACTCAGTTTGTTGCCCAGTTGAGAAGCACACAGCATTCCTCTGATCTAAAAGAGAATCTATTTCTAACCCTGCTCCCTCTTTTTAGGCTCCTCTATTTGTGGCGAAAAATACTTGGAGTCACTCTGTTGGGAGTGGCACAGCACATTCATACTTGCATTCAGCCTTTTAAAATGGCATAGTATTTTCGCTAACCTTCAATATGTCACTAAAAGAAGAATGGCAAATGATTTCACCTAAATAAACGATAACGCTACAACAAAGAAGCAGATGCCTGCTTGTAATTCTCTTTGAGTTCAGTGTAAATATTATTGCTATTTCCATACCCCTTGTCCAGTGTGTGTGTTAAGATCTTAAACATCTTCTCTCCTTCAATCTGAACATGGTTTTACCTACTTCCAAACCTGATATTCTCACCAATGTGCTTTTCTGTTACCAATATTTTCCTTCTAAAGACTGGCTACACATAAAGCCATGGAAGATACAGAAGGTTAAAGTGGACATCAAGCAGTCAATCACTGTTCCTTCAGTAATTTTTACAGGGACTGCATGAGGGGACACAACAAAAGCTCTTAGCACATAAACATTTAGGAAAGGCTATTGTTATGAGCAGAGATACTCTGGGATTTGTGTATATATTATCTATGAGAATGGGAAACTATGACAAGTCAAAATTCCTATCCTTAGGAATGAGACCACATCTTCCAAGGTATGGGGCATAATTTGTGGGGGCTGTACCCTGTTCACCAGGGCACACAGCCCCCACATTTGTTTTCAATATCTGGAATTAACCTAGAACAGCAGTTGCCAACCTTTTGGGGGAAAATGGAGAAACTGCCATTCCCCCGCCAACCAAGCACACACCACAACCTATTATATTAGCTACAATAGAATGCTTCTTTCAAGTCTAATTTCAGCTGGGGCGAGAGGAGGCCCCTGTGGACACTAAGGAAAGCCTTTGTGAATGCATGCGCACCTAGAGGTGCCATATAAGCAACTCCTGACCTAGAGCATAAGGTGTAGGAATAAATCAAAGTGCCCCTGAACAGGCTCAGGGTGCATTTCTCTCATCAATGGAGTAAATAATGTGGGTTGTATATTTAAGCACCATAAATTAACCCAGCTTCTAGAATCCTGACCCCCTTCTGTTGGTCTAGAAGTAGCTCTACTGCAAGAGTCCTCTAAGAACCCTGAAGGGCTGGCCCAAAACATTATGCTGTCTGACATGAAGGATATAAAAACTTAAGAATGTAAGACGAGCCTGTTGTACCAGGCCAAAGACCCATCTAGTCCAACATTATTTTCTTACAGGGGCCACCCAGATGCCCACAAGTGGGACCCAAGCACAAGAACACTCCTTTCTCCTGTGGTTTCCAGTACCTGGTATTCAGACACATCACGAGGCAAAATATAGAAGCTGATGAGAGTGGCAGTTCTGGCTTACTTCAATCCTGATGCCAGGACAGCATCCTTCACCACACCTGAAGGTAGCAGGTTAGCTTAGGGATGCAGGGCAGATTACCTGGGACACACTGATCTGTCCTACCATAGGCTGCCACTGCTCTCCACCTGCCAGGATTGACCAGCAGAGGAAGCAGTTGCACTCTGCTTAATGGTAGGGCCATTGCTGCCACGTTCCTACATAGAACACCAGTTTTGTTACCAACAGCTGTGTGGAGCTTGCATTCCACAATCCCATTCAGCCTTCACCAGCCCAGTGCCCTCCAAATGCTTTGGATCACAACTCCCATCAGACTGATCAAGCTGGGTTGGATTGGAGCTTGCAGTCAAAATCAACTTGGGGGCATCAGATGGGCAAAGGATGGTCTAGTTCAGCAAACACCACAGACTTTCAGATCAGAACTAAATTTTGCTCAGAGTAGACCTAGTGAAGTTAATGAACATGATTAAGTAAGGTCCATTAATTTCAATAGCTTTACTCTGAGTAAAATTTAACTGAATACCACCTGGGTTTTCTCCACACATGACCTGCTCCTCCAAAAGAATTACCCACTACCAGGTAAGGGCCTAAAAGAAACATTAGTACAGTTTGTTGGATGCAGGAAACCGAAGAGAAAGATGTTTGAGATTTGAAATGCTCATAAAAGCACCCACTGTTTAGTTTTTGGACAGGAAACAAGACATCTGTAAAGACCAGGACATTTGTAAATGCTAAGGACAGGTTTAAAAAAATAGCAACAAAGGGCAGGATAAACATAACAGAGATTCTGAAAATGTGAGACTATAGTTCTACGGTGAGGGCTTAGGAGGCTAAATGTGCTTTGGCTGAGGGAGCGGGGGGGAATGAATGTGTCCCCAAATATAAAGCTAAATCTGGGGGTAAGAGAAAAGAACAAATGGAACTGATAACGGTGGTTCTCGTGTGAGACAAAGATAGTGAAAATAAACATAGGCCAGGGATGTTGCTTGATGTTACACTTAATTAGTGCATGGTTTCAAGTTTGGATTAATGGTCATCTATAGTTTTCTTGGCTATTTAAAAAGTAACCAAATGCATACTTCTGGTTTGTGCCCAGTACTCAACTTGCCTTATAATATGTTCAGGCTTTCATGAATGTTTCTATTGTTATCCTCTCAGTAAATCCCCTTTCCAAAACTAGAAAACTTTTTATTCTGGATTTAGGCAGCCTGTGTCTTTCTCCATCCACCCCTGGCCTCCTATAAAGAGAAAGGCAGCCCATCTGTCTAACAAATCTGTCATTTCCTTCTTTCCATGCCTCTCATTCCCCCAATGTCATTTTTAGTCAGCCACTTGCATGGATTGCTTACTGAAATTTTAATAGCTCAAGTGGCCTCCATCTTGTATCTTTAGAGATGCCCATCCAATTTAGTCTGTCCCCTACTATAGTCAGATCTAAATGTGAGGTGGAAAGCATGTACAGTGGTGCCCCGCAAGACGAATGCCTCGCAAGACGGAAAAACCGCTAGACGAAAGGGTTTTCCGTTTTGAAGTTGCTTCGCAGGACGAATTCCCCTATGGGCTTGCTTCGCAAGACGAAAATATCTTGCGAGTCTTGAGATTTTTTTTTCGCTTTCCCCTTTATCTAATCTGCTAAGCCTTTAATAGCCTTTAATAGCCTTTTAGCAGCTAATCCCCTAAGCCTTTAAGCCTTTAATAGCCGCTAAACCGCTAATAGCGCTAATAGCGCTAATCCGTCAATGGGCTTGCTTCGCAAGACGAAAAAACCGCTAGACGAAGACTCTCGCGGAACGGATTAATTTCGTCTTGCGAGGCACCACTGTAGCTGTCCTGTTTTGATCAGGTTCATCTGTGTCAAAGCCATGTTCAGAAAATCTTAAATACTTCCAAACACATATGAACTTGCATTGAACTGTTCACAAGATCATAAGGCAGCAAATGACTGTTAGATTATACAGGCTGTACTGGAATAGACATGTAAGAACTGTGTTTCCCAGCACTTATAAATCAGACTTCTATTAATTATCTAAAACCTTCTCTGTCACTGTTTTTTATTTTCCTTTGCAGGAAAAACTATCCTATGGCACAGAAAACAAAGAAAGAGGAATACAGGAAAGAATACATATTTGCCTGATTGGTGTATTTAGAATAAAATACTTGCTCTGCATTACAACATACACCAGGCTTCCTCAACCTCAGCCCTCCAGATGTTTTGAGACTACAGTTCCCATCATCCTTGACCACTGGTCCTGCTAGCTAGGGATCATGGGAGTTGTAGGCCAAAAGCATCTGGAGGACCGAGTTTGAGGAAGTCTGACATACACCTTTCCCCCCTGTATTTCTAAATGTCATATAAAAAGTGGACTGAAGAAGCATGCGTATCCGAAAGAGATGCACTCTTTTATATTTATTTCATTCACAAATGTGCATTTTAAGATTTTTACATCATATTTGAGCATCTGTGATCGCTCCTACATTTCAAGTGAATACTGGGAAATGCAAAGATTTTTTGTGGCAAATACATGTTTGCTATCATACAGGCAGCGACTGCTTAAGTGTACATTGGGCGGGAAACTTGGTAACATGCGAAATGACCCATGGGGAGGTGGGAAATGTTATGTGAAAGGGGCCTAGGGACCAAAGGATTCATGTACCCACTAGAAAGTGCAAGGCAAGGGAGCCAGCAAAGAGAAGATCACACTGCAAAGTCTACAGACAGCTGGTTAAAATGCCTACTGTCACTGTAACATTTTGACCAGGCAGCTTTAAGGGGAGCAAGTGGGACCAAACTGATGGGAGCTGGGGAAGCAGAATTTCCACATTTTGAACTAATGTTTGCTAGAAAGCTTCTAGTCTAGATTTTATTTAAGGAAAGGGAAAAGAGCAGAGGTCCTTTGCTGAAAATAACCAAATGTGGAAAATGCATTCTTTCTTTTTCTAGATGCATGATCTCAGTCTGGATCTGTGTTCTTATTCCAGTGACACACTTGAACATGTACTTCAAGCCGTCTATATTCAGCAAAGTTCTTGTCCTTACTGGGACATGTTTTTTTATGTAAATTTATTAGGCTGCTCCTAGCTCAACAATATAAAAAAGGTTGATGAAAGGAAACTTTATTGTCTCTCCAAGCCTTCTGCAAATTTAAAAGATTATACCTGACTGGTAAGGATAATTTTAAAACTGTTAAATCTTATTCTTGCTTGTATAGTGCAGCATACAATATGTACATAGCTGACTGTTATTAGCATGCATACATTGCAGATATAACCACAAACACTGTGTTGGCAACAGTGCCATTCACTTCCCCCTATAAATGTTAACTAATGGACCACTGATTCAGTTCCTAAAGGGAGATCCCTTGCCTTTCCGGACCTCACGGGTTCTCCATTTTCCTGCTCATCATTATTAACTTTATGCAACATTTCTCCTACTGCAGAAGGGTTGGATTCAGTACTAAAATGTGGAAGGAAGAAAAGACACTGTTTAACTACAGCTGCAACAGAACTTCCTTCTGTGTAAATATGCATAGAACTCCACTGTAAAATTTATGAGCTGAACTGCAGCTCCATCTACTTTTTCTTAAAAAATAAAAATGGCAGTTCACCCTTCTTGGGCTGACATTCTGGGTGGGTGAAAGATTCTGTCCCTCACCTTCTACTCCTTTCACCTTTAAACTAGTGTGGAGCCAAGAATTTCTCCTGCATTTTAAAAACTATTCTCTGTCGGTCAATGATAAAAGAAACTGTGTCCAAAAATTATAAAAGAGGAGAGTTGATTTCAGTGAAATTTCCATAGGTGATGCGAAACACCTCACTTCTGAGGTGGGTGAAGTATCCTTTCTTTCATTCTGCACATCATCTCATCAGAGGACTGCATTTTGCAGACTTCCTGGGTGCCTGTGCTTGACCTAAGCTCCAGGAAAGCTAGCCTGATCAGGAAGTGCAGGCAGCTTGGGAGAATGCAGAGTACTGGAGAAATATTTACTGGAAAGAATAACTCACCCAGCACCCTTGGCCCCCTCACAATGAAAAGGTAAGCTAACAGACATTCTGGATAAATTCTCAAGTGGAAGCCTCTTTCACTGATGGTTCGTTCTCTCTCTCTCTCTCTCTCTCTGTGTGTGTGTGTGTAGAAATCAGGGCACAGATTTCAGCACAGAACTACTTTACAGCTGTCATCTGCCGTCTCTTGGGGTGAAAAGATGGAAATGGAGATATATGGCGGCTGGGAGAAAGATCCAGAGGGGAATGAGAAATAAAACAAAGAGTTTGAGTCAGATGAAAGGTATCTTGAGAGGTGTCTGGAAAGGTTGCTTCAAAATTAATCACCTCCTAACACTGCTCAAGGTGGAAAGAAATTTCTTTGTTCTTTGCTGCCTGAAGGCCTCCCATTGTCTCAGGAAGAGATATTTCACTTTATAAATGTGGGATAATCAGCCTCATGTGACCAACATACTTAAGTCTAATTAATGAATGAAGGAGTTAATACCACAGAGTAAGCTGTCCTGCCAGGCTTGGTTAGGTCACTTCTCACTTTGGGTGAAAGATAATCAAGCCTACCGTTGTACCTCAGTCTACCAGAGAAGCTCAGAGAAGCTCAACATGGCTCTAACAAGCGTATCTTAAGTTCCTATACCAATAGTATAATTTAAGAATATTACTGCCTGTGCAACTTTTCTAAATGCTGCATGGAAAGGCACATAAACCTGAGCTTTGGAGAGTTTGTAAATAAAGCATTTTCAGCTTGCCAAACATGTAGTCTTTTTCTATGTGAAGAGAAAAGGGAAGTTTTGGAACTCACAAGGGCATATTTTAAAAGTCTAAGAGCCTATATTTCCATGCTTTTCATTTTTATAGTTTGAGTACATACATCGACAATCACTCACTACAACAGCAGAAGTCTATTTTTGATAGTTATAAATAATCGTAATTCACACTACGGATTTTAGTATTAAATAAGAGAGTCACCTGGAGCTGCTTTTCTAAATCTGGAAAAGCCAAAGGAAAAGCATTCTCGGGGGGTGTATCATCTGAAAAGAAAACAAGTTCAAATTATTATTTTGAAATCTTAACAATTATTAAGAGGCAAACGACATCATCAGCTGATGTAAAGCATAGAAAAAACGTGCATGCTTATATTTGTTTCCCATCTATACAAACATATATATGGTCAAATACTTAAAGAAGGGGGGCGGACGGACCTGAGTACCAAATATGGCCCCCAGGCGCCTCTATCTAACCCTCAGTCACACCCACTCTCCTCAGGCCATAGCTCTAAGCAGCCCTATTTCACAACCCCCTTGAGTGTTTTCATCTGGCTGGAATGTGTCTTTGAACTCTGGTTGCATGGGTGGAAGATAGAGATGGGTGTGTTTGTGTGTAAACCAACCTGATGTACAAGGTAAAACTTGACATTTGCCTCTGACCTTGGTCATCACTGGCGTGTGGCCCTTGGGAAGACTGCCCAGATGGGAATGCAGCTCTTCTTTTGAAAAAAGTTCCCAACCCCTGTAGAGCATAGGCTCTACAATGGAAACAGAGAATTTGGAAGAAACGGATATGCTTTGCTCAGGGGGGTGGGGGTGGGGTCTGCGTAGGGTTGCAGCTCTTTGCAAATGATTTTACTGTACATGGAATCACCTTTAGGGCTTCATCCATCACATGACCACATATTTGACCACATCAAATATGTAACATACAGTTGTGAAGAAGCCTGAGGCTGCCTTCTTGGATAGCAGCCCATTGAATGACAGCACTAAATGCCACTGGACTTAGGGAATCATGAAGTTCAACTTAGTACTTTCTCACAGTTTTACAGATAATCTAAAAAAATAAATTTAAAAAATTGACACAGTGGTTCCATTAAGTCTAAGCCCAATGACTGCATCCATTTCCCCTAAAATTAAGGGATCAGGACCCATAAAGGTCATAGATAAACACTAGCTATAGTCTTGGGCTGGGGTGTTTGGGTTTTTGGGGGGGCGTAGGGTTGTTGTTGCTGGTTTTTTGTATCTTTTTTATAGATCTTGTGATTTATGTGGAAATTGTTTGGTTTAATTGTCTACTTTTTAACGTTTATTGTTTATGACTACTTTTGTTATGTTGCAGTTGTGTATTTTTTATGTTGTAAGCTACCTTGAGCATGGTTTGAACTGTGGAAAGGCGGCATTCAAATAAAATTATGTATGTATGTATGTATGGCCAACAGCATGCAGATAAAACCTTCCAGACCTTTATGGTTTCACATAGTACAAATCTCTGCTGCAGCTCGTTACTTCCGTGGGCTTGAACATGGCTTGTGCTGTTGCCTGTTGAAGTCAGGTTCTTCTATGCATTTTCCCAGCTCAAGAATGGATGACCGTCCCTTCCAACAATACAATTATATGATTCTATTATGCTTATAGTACATGCAAACAGAGGCCTGATCTTTTCCTGACTGCCGCTTGCATGTATTTTATAGGGACAGGGGGCTAAAATTGCAACATCAATACAGTTCATACTGAGATAGTCAGAACATGTAGTTTGTATTCTGGGATCATACCAGAGGACAAAAGAGGAAGGAATCAAATATTACTATAGCAGAATGTCAAGAGTGGACAGCTGGGTAGTGGTGACATTCTCCTTTTCTCCTGGAATGAGAATGGAATGACTAGATCCCTGGCTGGTTGCCACAAGGCAGCATGAGACTGTTTGGGCTAAGGAGAAAGCTTTGGTGGGTTTGGTGTGGGCTCAAGGCTTTATTCTTCCTGCATCTGGTTTAATCTAAATATCTCTGGCTTATTTATATGCATGTTATGTGATATGATATCAAATGGCTCACTAGTATCACACTGTGATACATCTATTGTTTCTTTGGCCAACTAAATTCTTTCAAGAAATAAAGGCAAGTATGGCTAGAAATAATCCTCCCTATGTTAAAGGTATTATTATTATTTTTAATTCAGAAATCCAGGATTTTAATGTAGTTGTAATTGGGCAGTAGTGAATCTACCCAGTGCAATTAAAGGCTGAGAGGTAAAAGGAGCTAAGGACAAAATTAACGGCTTTCACCATAGATGGTAGGTTGTCATCTGGACACCAGGCTTCCTGTTGATGAGCAGTAGATACCTACTGGGAAACACTGAAGGATTAGATTTGGTATTGTTTTTCAGAGATCAGGTCTACCCAGCTTAGTGGACCTGGTGTCTAAGCCTTGTTGCCACTTAGTCACCAGGTCTGTCAGAAACAGTTATGTATGTATATGCTTTGCCTAGTCCTAGAAAGATTCCTACAAATGTCCATGAAGCGTCTGGAAAAGTCCTAAACCTGCAATTCTAAGCATGCTTGGCAAGAAGTGTCAGTGAAGACAGACCTAATATTTTAAAAGTAGAGTTGCAGCTGGTTTTTCAGCTACAGTGGCCAATCCAGCTTCCTCTTGGTATTGGAATTTGGATGCCAATACTCATTCTATCAAGTCAGCTGCTGAGTCAGACACCAGACTTGCTCTTCCAGCCAGTGTTCCAGGTGGACTGCAAGTAGGTATGGGGGATAAATGCAGTTGGGTTGACATTTTAATGCAGAACTCCCAAAGGGCTTATCCAGACTTACCTTTCCTCCGCTCCTTCCAGGCATAGTCTGCAATTTAAAGCTCCATATCCAAGCATACCCCTTTTTTCTCCAGAGTTTCCCTGTGAAAATGCACTCTTTAAAGCTCAGTTGGAGCAAATGTCAAGCCACAGAAATCCCGAACTGACATTTGCTCCAATTCAACTTTAAAGAGTGGGTTTTCATGGGGAAAGCTCAGGACAAAAGAAAAAATACTGAGACATGGAGAGTTAAGGTGTGGACCTCTGGCTGGAAAGAGTGGGGCCAAAGGTAAGTGTGGATAAGCCCTAAATCACAGTATGCAAACTGAAACACAGCTTTCACTCGCAATTCTCACTTTTCCAAATTTTGCAGTGCTGTTCTATAACCGAATAATGTGTAAAAAATGTGTATATTAGGGGACCGTAGGCATAAATATGAACATATTAGTTAAAATAACATTTGAAAATGCATGGCATTAGGTAAATTTGCTTGCAGAAATGTGCCTATCTGGAGAAATTCACACTAAAATGTTGATGAATTTTCATGAGAACTTTAAAAAATAAATAAATCACAAGCTGATGCAGAACTGCAGAGAAACTGACTCAAGACTGGAAAAATGGAAACTGAGAGAATCCAAAATTTACAATTCTATCCATCCCTAGGTGCAAGCTTTTTTCGCTTTTTTTAAAGTACTACATTTATGTTTACCAATATGTGTTTTAATCCTTTGCACAATTGTTTTAAAGAAAACATTTTCAAAATAGTTCTTTTCACACAAGCTGCTCAGAGGATTCCCAAGGGGCTGGGGAGGGGTGCTCTCTGTGATGTAATGACCAATAGCCAATCAGCACTACCCACAAGTAGCTTTTGCTGCAAACCGGAACTATTTCCCCCCCACAAAGAAAAGGTTTGATTCCAAAGAGATGAAAGTACGTCTGCTCTACTTCTCTACAGCTGTTAGGTCTATTTTCAGAAGCCTCAACTAGTTGTGATGCTAATTGTGCCTAAGCAATTAATATTGACAGTTAAAAAAAATTAAATAGCACATGGAGGGGAGGTTATCTCATGGTCCCAATCAAAATCTCCTCCAGCCCTAGTACTCATTGGTGCTGATGGGATTTTCATCAGGACCGTAATGAGGAGAAAGGGTTAAATCCCTTACATGTTGTGTACTGTGGTCCTAATCCTTCTGTCTCTCCTAGGGTGGCTATTTAAATATTGGTCATGTTAATTACCTTCTCATAATTAACACTGGAGTCCTCAGTAAGCAAGCTTATGATAAGGGCTGTTACTTTCTGAATTTTATGCAACATCTTTATTGTCAGTTGCAAGTGTTTCACAGTGAATGGCCAAAAGGAAAGGCAACACATGACTCAAGTCACATCGGTAGCACAGCTGCTCTAAGAACATTTAACTGGGTAGTTATAAAGCATTTTGACAAAGATACTGGATACTGATACTTCTTTTGGCAACTCAAGAAGCCCATACAACTATTTTCATTTGTAACATTAATATTTCTTTAACACAATATTTTAAACAATTTAACAGTGGTAAAAAAGGTAAAGGTAAATGACCCCTAGATAGTTAAGTCCAGTCAAAGGCGACTATGGGGTGCGATGCTCATCTCGCTTCAGGCTGAAGGGAGCCACTGTTTGTTCACAGACAGCTTTCTGGGTCATGTGGCCAGCATGACTTAACTGTTTCTGGTGCAACAGGACACCGTGAAGGAAACCAGAGTGGAAGGAAACACCATTTACCTTCCTGCCGCAGCAGTACCTATTTATCTACTTGCACTGGTGTGCTTTCGAACTGCTAGGTTGGCAGGAGCAGGGACCGAGCAACAGGAGCTCACTCCGTCGTTGGGATTCGAACTGTCGACTTTCCGATCAGCAAGCCCAAGAGGCTCAGTGGTTTAGACCATATCACCACCCACTCCCCGCTTTACCTTTACCTTAATTTAATTGTATATGAATTGGAAATCCCATGGATTGAACCTGGGATCGCCATCAGTGGTATATATCCAATTCCATACAATTTATGAAGAACATTTTAAGCAAAGAAAGCTGCATTATATTGGACAGGGCAGACTTTACCCAATTCTTTAAATTTAAATTATTTATATGATTTTTAGACCGCTTTTCATCCAAAGTCTCAAAGTGTTTTTTAACAATAAAAAGAAAGATGAAAACCAGATACATTTTAAAATAAAAGCAACCAGTATAAACAATGCAGAAAAGGGTAGCTTGGATTCAGTCCAGAAATAGTGCCCAGCTCAACAACTTTGGCAAAAAAAACACCCCTTAATTTTGTTTCAACAACTTTTGTGTCCAGATTTTCACTTTTTGAAATATGGTAACCTTAGCTACACAACTTGTCTAAAAGCCTCAGAGAACAGAAAGGACTTGACTAGATGACAGAAGGTCAGCAATGATGGTGCCATCCATGTCTCTAAAGGGAGAGAGTTCCAAAATCAGGGTGCAATTACTGAGAAGGCTCTGCCCTCCATTCAAATACCAAGAGTAATACTTGCTGGCAGGACTACAAGCTAGCTCTCCTGATTGCTCTCATGATCTGAGCTGGCTGATATGGCCTAGAATTGCATACTCTGACTGCAGTTCTCTCAGGTCTTAAGCACAAGGTATTTCACATTACTTGCCACCCAATATTTCTTTCATTCAAGATGCCCGGAATTGAACCTGGTACCTTCTGAATTCAAAGATGTGCTCCATCACCAATGAGCTATAGTCTACAGAGGTGCGGAACCACTGGTTGGGTTCTAACTCTCATCAGCCCCAGGCAGCATGGCCAATGGTCAAGGACATGGGAAGTGTAATTCAACAACCTCAGGACCACCACTGGTTCCCACCTTTGCTGTAGAGTTTAATCAAGTTGTCAACTCTGTTGTTGTAATAATGGTTTGGGGTAGAGCAAAATAAATTTTAAAACAGATTTAGCTGTTAACCATAAGAGCAATGGGGGGCGGGGAGCCACCTAAACTTGTTTAGCCTATTTCCCTGCTTTACCCATGACCAAAAAGCCATTTCTTCTGCTCATTCTAGTCCACTGCAGTGCAACACCCAGCCTCCTCACTTTCAGCTCAGCTTCTTAGTTCTTGCACTGTGGATCCTCTGCAGCACTCTTCATTCTACCTTCTCTTGATTTCTGGCTCTCTCCTCTAATAATAATAAGAATAGTTGTACCCTGCCATCTGACTGGGTTGCCCCAGCCACTCTGGGCTGCTTCCAGCATATATAAAATCATGATAAAACATTAAACATTGTTTGCCAGCCTCACTTATATATATATTCCAACACCTCCACTCAGCATCTTTGCTTCGCAAAAAAGTTCTTGTTCTCTAACCGAGTTGCTTCTCCCTCCTCATAAATTCCAGTTTCCTGGTCTGACCTTTTCAACTCCCTGGCAAGTAGGGCAGGCCCAATAAACTTTTGCTGCCTGAGGCAAAGGAAAGGTGACCGCTCCACCCCTCCAGCAGGGGTGGGAGCTGAGCCAGCAGGCAGCTGAATCATGCTTCAACACTGGTGATGGGACAACATCCTGCACTACACCCAAAGGCTGGGTTAAGGGCTGTACAGGTCAGCAGCAAGCACAGCTCTGTTGTCCAACACCTTCCCACTGCTTCCCACCCAGTAGCATCTGCTGCCCGAGGCGATCGCTCTACTGAGCCTTGAAGCTTATAGTCTAAACAAAAAGCAAACATTTTACAACTAAGAAAAAAACACCAAATGTCATATCTGACTTTTAGAAGAGGAAGTCCTGAAGGCAGTCCTGTTTAGGAAAATTTTTAACATTTGATGTTTTATCCCCAAAGTGGCTGGGGAAACCCAGCCAGATGGATGGGGTATTGATGATGATGATGATGATAATAATAATAATAATAATAATAATAATAATAATTGCAGTTTCATTCACAGGGACTCAAAGATACAGGAGTCCTTTCAGGACCTGAAATTAATCTTAGTCATTAAAAAAAACACAGCTTTGACACCAATGGTTAATGCAGCAATTATTATAAAACCTTCAGAAAACCAAGTCATACACAACTTTTCCACATAAATTATGCAGAGGGAGTATAACACGTACATGGCAGAACTCTCTCTCTCCCCACCCTGCACTTTAGGCTGCAAAACTAAACAAATAGTCAGCAGTAATAGAAAGAACAATGTCAACCAACTTTTTACTTCTTTTGTTTCTGAGGGAACATACAATCCAGACCAGCTGTTTCCTGAGAGCTTCCCTCAATTTGGTCAGGAAGGTATTTTTTTACCCAATCTCGTTTTTTTCATACTCTCTCTCTCTCTCTCTCTCTGTTGTCCTTCTAAAGATCCACCTAGAATTCTGTAATGTCGGCCTGCTGCTGTGCTAGGCTTGTGTCTTTCTGTTGCTGTTGCAAGTAAGAGCCCTGATAAACAATTTCAATGAAACAGGTTTGCTAATAAGATTATAACAACTTGATGGATGTATGAGACCTCTGGGTTTAGGGCGGTATATAAATATTATAATAATAATAATAATAATAATAATAATGAGACCAAATCATTTCAAACACCTAAGAAAAATCAAACTGTGACACTGAAGTGCCAATTTGTGGCAATAATGGACAACCAGGACAAAGAACCTTTAATAAATTTGAATTTTACCTGCGGAGTCATTTAGACTGAAGGCAATTCGTATCGGTTTATCAGCAGGTACCCTTGCGGTGGTGATCATGTGGGCACTTGAGCCTATGCGTTTACTTATGTGTTCCAGCTGCAAAATATAAATATTGCAAATTTAAGGGTCTTGAGAAGCCAATGCAATGTGATTTTAATGTTCTTCAAATATCTTCATAACTTCTCTGATGTAATCCTCTCTCACGTTCAGGAATATTGCAAAGCATAATTACCTGCAAGTAAATTCCCTGTCACGGTTCTTTCACATATAAGGTCCACAATGTGCAGAGAGAGGTAGAGCATAAGCATCATATATATTTCCAGACAAATCCAAGTCTTCCATTGAACAATTGCTAGCCAAGACAATTTTTTCAGAGAAACTCACTGTATTTGGCTGCCATTCTTGACTTTTCCTAGGACAATGCAGGATTTAGTGCAATTATATATATCTACAAAATGGGTGTAAGCATGTGGAAATGCATAATTGATCTGTGACCAGTCCTTTCTAAGCATTATCATCTGAGATATTTCTACAGGTTTTTGTACCACCAACAAGCAAAGATTGATCAACGAAGGTAGTGGAGAACACCCATTAAACAAAACGACAGTGAAAAAGTCAGGGAAACAATTCTTTGGCACAAAACAGCCCATTGCTTTACAAATGGGTTTTGCTTACAAACTGGCAGTGTTAATATATAATGCTATCTGGCAATAGGTCAGATCACTGGTATATCTAGAGGAATATATATCTAGCTCTCCAAAGCTTGTGGAAGTTGTCTATATCAACTTTGCCACTGGAGAGATCATTTTAACCAGAGAAACGGGGGATTGATCCTGGAACCTGGGAGCCATGCATCTTACAAACAACCGGTGGCTCACCTTACTATCACTATTTCACTGTAAATGAGTTGTCCTGCATCCTCTAAAACATGGCAGGGGAACCTTTCGAGCTCCAAGGGCCACATTCTTATTCAGATTGGATAGCAACCCCCTGATGACACCATGATGTCAGGTTCAAGGTGCTGCTAAAACTAAGGTTTCCCACCTCCATTTTAGCAGGGCCTTTGATGCACTCCTTCCTGAATGAGGAAGAGGTTTGAATAGAAACTCCTGCTAAACAAAAGGGGGGGGGGAGAACACATTTGTTTTAGCTGAGGTTTTAATGCAAACCCCTTCCTGAACGAAGGAGGCTGTATGGAATCCTGCCAAACTGAGCACTGTTCAGTTGTGTGCTCCTGTTCTTTAGTGCATGCGGGATTTACCCTGCCCTTCCACCCAAGTGACACCAGCTGGTGGATGTAGTTTGTGAAAGATGGCCTCACGGGCTAACTTAGATCCCCCCAGCAGACCAAGATTGGCCCACAGTTCAGAGATCTTCCCCCCAACGCTAAAAAGCCAGCTAAAATACATTTAAACCAGGTGTTCTGATGCTTACACTGTAAATTTTTAGACAAACAGATATGTCTGTAAACTAACAGATTTCATGAGTGCAACTAACTTGTTTTAATTCTACATTAAATGAGCCCACGATAAAATGTTTACTAAGTTTGAAGCCAGCCACTTACTTGCTCATTGCAGCCGATTATCACCATTTGGAGCACCATTCCAGAAATGTGACTACTGGGTCAGAGAGTGATCTGTTCAGAAACCCTGCGATTCGTATACAGATACCAGATTTCCCCACAAATCTATTACTACTACACTGCTGCTATAATATTAAGTGGCTAACAAAGAATTAAATCTACTGAGTCAGTTGTAAGTTACCGGTACATACTCAGCAATGTAAGCAAGGTGCATTTATATTCCGCCATTGGCGTGTCCTGTAGTTAGTATGGCATTTAGCTGGTGGAAAAAACATCTCATTGCTCTGCCTCCTTCTAATGCTATACTTTTAATGTAATAGCAGGGGACTGCTTTGTTCAAACATCACTGGTAGAGATGGGTGAATCTGTCAATTTTAGTTTCTCATTTTTCCAATCTTAAGTTCAGCTCCACATTTTCCTATCAATTTGTGACAAAACACCCAAATGAAAAAATCTATTTTTCTATGCAATTTTGACTAATACACATAATTCTGCAAAGCAGTTTTCCCTAATACAATGCAGTTTTGTATGTTATTTTCATTACTTTACCCTAATATATGCATTTTTGTGCACAAGCTGCAGAACTGCATTGCAAAATTTGGAGAAGAATCTCCAAATTTTGCTTCACATATTGTTTTAGAAAGTGCAGACTGGGTAGATTCACCTTTAACATTTCACCTGGAAAAAATTAAATGTAGCTCTTAAAACTGCAAGAACTTTTGGAAAGTCTGGACTTTGCAGTCTTATGGCCATTGTATTTTATATTTTATTTTTTGAAGCACTTAAAAAAACATTTGATAACAAGAACTAGTTCACACAAAAAAACATCCTTAACACCATTCTCCAACAGCATAGGATGTTGTGGTAGTAGGCATAAATTTGGCCAGCCCACATCTATTTTCCAATGTACCTTGTTCTTTCAGCATTTATCTAGCAACTGTAACACTATCCTAGTTGTGAAAAGCATTTAAACATGTGCTTAAGCCAAGGAGTGTTGTCATTCATTTCAGGATGACACACTAATGCAATTTGCAGGCTCCGGAAGACTACCACATTGAACACATTGTGTTCAACCTCAAAGTGACCCATTTAGACTATTAAAATGCAATACCCTAAATTGCCAAAGTTAGTGTACCTGGTCTACTAAAGCACAAGAAGTAAGTACATTGTTTGTTTTGAAAGATGTTTGCTGTGAGAAGTTCTATGATACGTCCCATATCTCTCAGATGCTGTAAGATGATCACAGCAATATCTAAATCTGCTAATAGCTACACAAACATAGGTTGTAACAGTGTTAGCTCTGAAGAGAGCTTGCCAAAATCTTTAGACTTTGGGAACTCAAGTTATACCTTAGTCAATGCAAATAAACCAAACTTAGATCCATATTCTTTAGCTTAACTAATAGGCTATTAAAACTGCATAATAAATATTATTGATGCATCACTTAGCTTACTATCAATTATTTAAAATCATATACATGTATGATTAAATATTTTTATTGAATTTAAATACAGTACTGCTTTATTTTCTCTTCTTTACAATCACAAAAGCATTTGAGATGGTATAGATACATAATTATAATTTATTGCTCACAGTATTGTGGTCAAACTAACCTACTGCAAAACAGACAGAAAGCATGAATGAAAGAAAGGTTATATATTTGGAAAACCAACATCATCATCACTTTTCCCTCCACGAGTCTCCTGGTTCATCCTTTGGATAGCTTGGAACAATGCATGAAAGGCATGTTAAAAAGTGATCAAGCTATGAAACAATTTATATGTTAAAAAGCACAAGGATTTTGAGTACAAAGCTAAAATGTGCTTGTAGCAAAGCCATTTGTTTTAAAAAGCTATTCTCTTATCCTGGTAATGTAAGTTTCTTTTAAAACATTTGGTTTTCCACTTTTCAGAAAGGCAACTACTTTTCCTGTACACAATACATACATATAGCTTTCTCTGTACTTTACCAAAGAATCCCAAAAGGTCTTCCTCTCAGAGAATGAAACAAAATGAATCTATGCAAAGAAAGGACGGAAAGTTCATTCACAACATTCTCTGCGTGAACATCATCAGTGAGATAAATTAAAAAGAATTGCCTCAAATATATCCCTTTTCCCTCTCTCCTGATGAAACCTAAAAGCTTTCAATTTGAAAAAAAAAATCCCAAGGAAACAGTTCTTCAGTTCAATTGCCTGTGAAACTGAGTGATCCTTCCTTATTTTTTTAAAAAAATCTGCAACAGAACTCAAGTTAAGTGTGGTTACAACTCAATCAGTTAGTTCAGTTTTCACACCTGTTGCCTTACCTCACTTAGTAGTGTCTGCACTTGTATAATCCAGGGCCAGCCACTGCCTTGGCTTGTCGCTGCCTTTATGGAGTAAAGATTCAATAGAAGAAAAGGCTGCACCTGCTACATAGCAGCAACTGACAAGGTCTGAGAAGTTGAAACAGCTGTCAGGGCAACATGCTGCTACCTGCACTTCCCATAGGCTTTTCAGTCCCCGAGGACCACCCTTTTCCGTTTCCCTTCACAATTTCACCATTTCTTCCCTTCCCTTCCTTTCCAACAACGAAGGATTACAGTGTTGTCATGCTTCATGGGGCAAAAAATCCTTCCATCAGAGGCATTATTAAAGCGGTGAACAGTCAAGAGTCCAAGATTTTTAATTCATTAGTCCTGCCAAACCTAAAATATACAAACAGACTTGCTTCATAGGACTGGAATGTTTTCAGCATGACCCAATCAGTGTCTGTGTCTATTCCAGCAAACTGGAAAAGATAGCCTGACTCCAGTCAGCAAAAATGTCTGCGTCTCAAATCAGCTTGGGTGACATTGCCAACTTGAACCGGCTGCAAGCAAACTATCAGATGATAGCTCCCGCTGCTGTTGCTGCTGCTATGAAAGCGAACAACTAGGTTAGATGTTTGCTGCCTTAGACCGGGCTCAGTAAAATGATACCATCCAATAAATGAGATGATAGACCTGCAGCTATGAAGAGACAATGGGCTATTCTTAGATGCACTGTATACTAACGGTCTATTAATATTTTTCTTAAGGCATGTCTATAGCCATTCCGGAATTACACTGCCCGAAACGGAAGGGAAGCAATATGTTTTCATAAATCATAGAGTTTACAATTGATGTTTTATGTGAAAGCTAGAACTGCTGAAAATACAAGCAAGCTAATAGCTAGTAAATTGCACAGTGTCACCAAACTTTTCCCCCCAATGACAATATGTATACATCCTTCCTCAGTCTATATAACATGCTTTATTTACAGCCCTGACAGTCTATCTGTAGTATATCATGTATTTTTAAAAAAATGGTTGGGATCAAATTATTTTACATTTAAATTATTTTACAATCATTGTTATACTGAAGTTATGTTGCATTACCTTTTGAAAGTTATTTATGGAATCATGCTTATATGTATAAATATATATTTTTAACTCCCATATTAATAGTAGCTGTA